TTTATTTATTTATTTATTTATTTATTTATACCAACTTTATTTGCATCAAAAATATATAAATATCTACATGCAAACAGTCGAAAATGGGGTTCCAGCAGGAAATAACTTAAGATTAATCATGCCTAGTTGATCATGTGGTCTATTATGAACCCCAGGTTCCTGTAACTTGAAGCTACCCCTCGCAACACCCCCCCCCCNAAAAAAAAAAAACACACACAAATACCTCAGATAGCAGTGGTGCGGGTCCATCGCCAGCTTGTGAAGTGCAGTTCCTGATGACAATACTCGTTAATGGTTGACACCCAACGTACACGTGCAGCACCTACATACAATACAGATGACAATGGTATGATTTATATATAACAGCCATGATCGCAAAAGTCAAGCAAGTTATACCACTGAACACCAAAAGACACTTATGTTACGAAACACTCATTGCATCAATTGATGTACCAGAGCAAAGTTTTCTTACATCTGCCGTGCCTCCCTTTAAAAGCTTACCTCAGAAAAGCCATGCAAGAGGGTACATAGAAATTCATACAGAAACGTCCAGCTCTAAACGGTCTACCATTACCTGAAGTGTATTTTCACAAGTCAATCCTCCAACATTTGGAAACAGCAACACTGCAACTGTAGTGGATTTGTAGGCACTATAGAATGGAAAATATGTATTCAACATTTTACATTGTTGACTCGGAGGAATGTTGAAATGGTACATGTCACATCTTGATGCAATGTAAAACACTGAACATAAATCAAATTAATTGAACGACTTGCCCTGGACTTGCCTTTTTGGCAGGGAGGTTCCATTTCTTAGGTTGTATTTGAATGTGAATGTCTAGCACATGGAAGAAAAAAGTAACAAATATAAATGAACCTTAATTGTCAGGATAGAATTAGGCCCGGGTCAAACGGCGCATGATAGTTGACGATAGCTGAATCTCCTCAAATATGTATGGGTTATTGACCAAGTGTGAGGTCAAGATGGCTGGATATTGGGCAAGTTCTTTTTTTGCATGTTTACTTGATGGACCGAGACGGAGTCGAGGTCCATAAACTCGCAAAGAAAGAACGAGGCCAATATCCAGCCAACTTGACCAAACAAGCTTGGTCAATAAAGGATTTATTCTATGGCTTTCGGGGAAATTTTTCTTGCGGGACACGACGGGACACGACGGGTAGTCCCGCTGGGGTAGCCAATCAAAGCGCAAGATTGGTTCATCTTGCCCGCCCACAGAACTAGCCATATAATAATTGATGATAGTGCATGATAGTTGGAGTTCAAACGGAAACGTGTGTTATAACTAACATCCACCATCATGCGCCATTTGACCGGGACCTTATACCTCCTTGAAAATCGCCCATGCAAGAGGAACTTTCTATTAAACCCCNGCGGGCAAGATAGCTCTATCTTACCTGCTGGGGTAGCCAATCACAGCGCAGGATTTGATTCATCTTGCCCGCTCACGGAGCTAGCCACATAATAATTGATGATAGTGCATAATGGTTGGAGTTTAAAGGGAAACGTGTGCTATAACTAACATCCACTATCATACGCCATTTGACCGGAGCCTTATACCTCCTTGAAAATCGCCCATGCAAGAGGAACTTTCTATTAAACCCCTCCTGATTGTTATCCGTCACTTTGAATTCTAGTTCTAAGAGTTTAATGGTATATCATGGACATATACTAGCTGATTATTTTCTTTATTCTCATCAGCTGTCTGCTTGCCAATGTATCAACATGGTAAAAAGAGTTTTCATGTTGATATATGTTACTCTTGGGATCAGCTAACAAACCTTGTTCACTGTCACGATTCCTGGATAATATTCCACGTTCTCTTCACTGCTGATCTGGAGAACATCATCACTCGAAATTTCCAGCTACAACGTAATGCAACTAATTTATTGAACTTGCCACGGTAAAGCAAGTAAGTAATATATTTTATCATGTCAATAACACGGTAACACGAGGAGTGCTTGCACAATCTTCCGAGTCACTGCCGAGGAAGCTCATGTTAAATGTGGTTGACAAAAAGGATAAAATGCTAGTAGTATCTGTGTATGTTAAACAATAAATTAAGAACAAGATTATAACAGTTCTGCTAAACAAATAAGGTTTAAGAAGTATTTGCCTGACGTTTGTTACACAGACTTCCATTTAACTGCACATTTCCAGGCAAATACTTCTTAAAGCCTATTCATGGGTAATTTACTATAACCACACTTTTGCGTGAAAAAACGGCGGATCGCTTTCCTGAGCTGTCAGAGAGTGATTTAAAATATAGAAACAAACTTGGTGATTGAATGATAAAACAGTTATTGAACTCGGTTTTCGCAAAATATCATAGTTTGTCAGAGTCTCACAGATCAATTATTTGCAATTATCTGCTTGCCACTGACAAATCACCATATTTTGCCCAACCTCTTCCAATAATTGATAATTAACTGGTTTGTTACAAATAATTGACTTGTAACTTTATTATCTAAATTGTCCATACCATGATTCCATTAGGTACAGCCCTGGGATACATGAGTTGTGCCCACACCTAAGGCAGATACAAACACAACACTGGATGATGCCTTCATTAAAACAATTTACTCATCAAGTTATGCACCTCAATTAAATGCACTGTACTCAAGTACAAACCTTTGTTTCATCTCCTTTGTCAATGAAATGTAACTCCGGACTGATGTTAGTCGTGAATTCCAGATACTAAAAGTACAAAATTCAGAGTTGGATAGTTACAAAACAGTTGTTTACAGTTCTAAAAGCTTAACAAAAAAAACAGAGAATTCTTTACAGATCAGCCTGACCGGACATGATGTGTGTGGATATACAGCATTTAAAACTTCATTTTCAAGTGGTAGCTTTCTCCTTTTCACATTTTCTCTGAAATGAGTGAAAAAACAGACAAATAATCTTTATGTGTACTGGCTCTTAAAGATTGCAACAACCCACTTTTGATATATCAATATCCTAACATGGCTCCAAGGCTTTCAGGACAAACTTCTATCTTTAGTGGTGTTTTCTTTAAAACGGTTTTTCAGTCCGTACTACGCACTCGCGAGAGTTTGTTTGCGTTTTTTGTTTTGTTTCATGTAAGACATCACAAAATGTAAACATTTTGCAACTACTTAGATGAAATGTGAAAAGTGAACTGATCAACATGACACGAGCGTGGGACAAAGAAAAATCTGAGTTCCTGACAGGAATTGAACCCATGACCTCCCGAATACCGGGCGGGCGCTCTATCCACTGTGCTACCAGAACTCATGGAGAGCAAGGCCACTTAACTGCATGAATTGAGGGACAACAGAAACTTAAAAATTGCAATTTTCTCCTGAAAGCCTCGGAGCCATGTTAGAATATTGATACATTGAACGTGGCCTCAAGTTCTTCTCTTAAAAGGACTGTAAGTTCAAATACTACATTTCTTGATACATGTCCAGTATGACAAAAACATTAAAAGGAAAGTTAGTGTATCAGCAACAATTTGCTCACAATGTTTGTTCACTAAAGAAACTCTTTTAAACCAAAAACTGACCCTTCACTGGTAATCAGAAGCAACGACCCAAACACATCAAACATTGCTGTCAAATTTGAAGAGGGTTCTTCTCCAGTAAAAACCTGGCAGAAATAAAAAGAAAGATGAAATCAAAACCAAAGACACAAACAATAATATGAAAGGAGGGCTGAACAATACATGCATCTCCATCTTTGTAGTGTTTTGTAACCTATATTTTGGGGAGTAATTTAAAGGCAAGGAAAATTTTGGCTTCAAAACCATAAAAAAAACTCACTCAAATAGAACGAGTGACTGTGTAAGATTGTGAAGGATGCAAGGAATATAAAAGGTTAATATTTACATGACATTTGTTAACAGTGCACAGGGTTGTTAAAAAAAAAGCTTGAAAGTGGCCACCTTGCCGACAAAATTCATCTTCTACCTTCATGACCTTGGATGGCTCAGCCACCCATTCCAGCAATTATGCCATTACCACCAACTTCACACCTTTGCAACAACCCTGTGACTGTGTTCAATTCAGAATAACATATTATGTTATAATAATATTGATGTTTACCTCAACCACATGTCCAACAAATGCTCTTCCATATAACATCCGGTTGTTTGACAAGTGTACTGCAAAATCACGACATCCACCTGAAAGGTGTTATTTTGAAAATAATATAACAAATAGTTTGTGGTATATTTATAACAAGTGCATTTTTACTCACAGCTGAGGAACAGAAAAACTTCCAGTTTCAAGATTTTTCTACATAATCAGTGTCAACTCTTTTTTTGTTAGTTTTTAAGCACCACATCAATTATTGTAACAAACAACTCATTGTTGATGATGTTTTAATTCTCACCACCTACCTGTTTTGATAATAAATAAAAAGGTAAGGAGAAATCAGATCTCAATCATTAATCCAGTCTTCATACCTGTTATTACAGACACTATAGTTTCATTGTCACCAAGCATGAATTCAGTGAGATTGTCCTGTCTCTTCAACTTGAAAACACTCCCTGTAATCAAATAACATAAAATAACAGTGACACATAATCTAATGGCCACGCCTGACTAAGCAGAAGATCGCCCCTTACACTCATACACTAGACTTGCCTTAAGACCACCTTCTACTCGTGACCATTTCTGTTTGCCCTGAAGAAACCTGAGCTGACCATTCTTACTGGTCACAGATCCATTTAATATGTCTATCTTAAGAAACATGATCACATTTTGGTGGCCTGCTGGTTATTACATTAATTGGGTTTCCATTGGACATCATATATTACCAACTCAACATGTGACTTGGAACTACATCAAAAGAAGTGTTACAGATTTTGTACAACTTACATTTTGTTTACCCTTCACTTAGATTTTCATTGACAATGTAACACTGGTGTGGTTAGCAGTAGACATGGTGCACTCTTTACCTTGTTAGCAATGACTAAATGCATATAGTGTAAGACATGCTTGCGAATCATGTGGTGAAATTTTAGCTCTGGGATGTAATATTGGAACAGATATTAGGTTTAAAAATCTCCAAAATTTCAAGATAGCAAAAGTGTCAATGAACCTAATTTTTTTTGGAAATTTTCAGCTTCTGCTGTTTTTTTTTTTAAATCTTTTACCTTGACCAGCGACAGAAGTGCTTTTGCTTATGAGGAAAATTGTGTACACAATATAACTTGTTCATAGGACACATATAATATGAGGGCCACTCACTTACCTGTATCATTCAATCTTCCAAAAACAAACATTTTCTTACTCCAAGCAATCACAAACTGTGTACTTGGAGGAATAAAGGAAAACAAGATTGGGAGATCTATGAGAAGAAACAACCAAAACATTTAAATTAGAAAAAAAAAAAGAATTGCCTGAACTATATGGAAGAATACATTTCAAGTTGCATACTGACCTTCATAGCTGGTTAATTATAACATAAAACTCTCAGTCACAATGATAGTGACCTTGCTTCATTATAGTACTACAAACTGTATGATAAGGTGTAAGTTCATTGATCACAAATAATTTGGCTACACAAATTTCAAGTATAAAACATTTCATTTCTACCAGATACTATAACTAAAGGCATTTTCCTCACACATAAATATTATCACCTTTGTGGGGTTGGCTGGGGCTGTTTAAAGAATGCTTTTGACCCCTAAAAATGTGACATGCGTGCATGCAGCGCATCTCCCAAAGATTAAAATAACAATACAGTCTTATCACTTTTTGAGGGTTAGATGATTGCACCGCCTGCACACTCAGGTACTATCAAACCACGCTGTCTTACTGTGCATACAATAACTTCAGATAAGTGCTCATATGCCAGACTGGTAAATTTCTGCTCACATACCTTGATTAAAGCTGAGAAGTTTAAATTCCTCTTTCACCCAAACTTCTTCTGCAAAATTGTACTGTAGAAAGAGCATCTAAACAAAGTGCAAAATAATACAAGACTTCTCAGAATAATTAAATAATAAATTATCAACAAAACGTTTGTCGACTAGAACCCCTTACATTAATGCCATGATGCCTGAACATGGAACTGATGGAAAAAGACAAGATCAATGCCATTGCAAAAATCAAACAGAAACATGTTAAAAAGCCCAAATTAATTCTGATAGCTAGTGAAACACAAGAAAAAAGGGATGAAAAAATGCTGGGGGAATCTTAAGCATGCTTTGCCAGAAAAGTTGAGTGTTTAGACCTTACAGTGCTGTGTAAACTTGGGTCAGAATATTTAGAAAATACTTATAAAGAAAATATTGGAAATACAAATACTAGGATAAGAAAAGTATACAACTTGTGACAGTTATACCTCTTGTTGGCCGCCATAACCTGTGGCATTTACCAGAAATGTTGCGATGGGAAACAAACAGTGTATTTCAACATGTTGCACCTAAAAAGAAACAAAACTTCCTCATACACCCTATGATATAAGATCATCTGTAATAGGCATCAGCTTCTAGTAATCTGGTACATATACAGTTTAGAATGGCCATTTAGTTTTTTCAGCTTTGTGTGACTTGGTTTTGGGAATTTTCAACATTAATGGCTATGCAAGTCAATTTTCCCAGTAAGATATCAGTATGGAATGGAAGGTAACATCTAGTGATCAGGTCTTCCCCACCCTTAACACCTCCCAGACAGATACTGAGCAAGAAAGACCAGATACAATTATTTATTTCGTGGAATGTAACAGATCTATACTGAACACTGAACATTTTTGTTAGCTAAAAGAACTTGATGAGGGCCCTTAGTATTAACAAGGATGTTTAACATTTTTACAATGTAAAAAATGCAAATCTTGTACATTACATGAAAAGCATTCATTCTTTAGTCACCAAAAAATGTCAAGTGTACAAAAAATTTCAATTGTTCATGGTTCAAGTGTCTTAACTGTAAACTTGTGTAAGAAGCGTAAATATCCAATGTACTAACTTCTTTAATTTAACAACAGAAGCTTTCAAATTTACAGTAGTAAGATACATGTAAGTTGAGGATGATTCTCTATAACTTGGCTGAGTGAGTAACCGGTCACTTTTCTCAATGATTGGTGTTATAAGAACTATGTACTTACAGAAATAACAGTGAAACTTAGTGTAGGAAAATAAAGTTGCTGGAAAGAAATTCCACTGTCTGTTGAAAAGTAAATCCCGCTGCCATTAGTCTGCAATAGAGCAAATCAAACATTACATTAAATTTGAAGAAAAATGGCACTTATTTTGTGTGGCCCTCCAAACAGCCCTTGAAATGGCATTGGCAGAAATTTTATTGGGCAGATAATTACAGTCCAAGTATGCATGCATGTGAATCCAATAGCAAATATTTCTCAGGTTTTAAAGATGAAAGACATTGTGTTCACTCTATAAGCCATTTGAAATGCAAAGACCACACCTTATTTGACCATCCTACAACAAGAGTCATCATGATCTATGAAGTGAAAAATAAAAAGTGTAGGTAGCAAAAAATAAAGGAGTCAGTTTTGAAAGACAGAGAAAATACACATAGAGAAGGATAAAGTTTTCAGCACTCACAACTCTCTCACTGAGTTTGTCTATGCAAACATATGCATGGGGAGAACTAGTGAAATGGCGTGTGTATAAATGACTGCAATACATGAAAAGACCCGAAGAACAAATCCCAACAGGATGCAGCTTGGTAGGTGGAATGTTGAGATTACAAAAAAATATACAAGCAAAAAATGTGACCTGCTCACTGGTTGTTATCATACAACCTTAACTTTTAAAAGTTTGTTAGCCCTTAATTCACAATTTGTAATGAGCCAAAATATCAGAATGGAGTTTCCACCTTACTGTGTGCACCTGCAAAGCACTTCTTTTGTGATGCCAACTCATTTAACCCCACCTGCGACAAACCTGTAGTCCGATCAAGGCAAAAGAAAAAAAAAAACTTCAAAATGTATTGAGGGTTTCAGTTAAAATCTGAAATGGTTTAGATTCACATGCCAATATGTCCTGGCTCCTTCTAGTCCCGAGTGGAGGGGAATCATACTCTACAAAAAGTTCTATAAGGGGAGGCTCTGCCCCGAGGACCAACCCCTTAAGTACCCTTTTTTTATAGCATTTTGACAGAAAAAGTACCCCTTTCATTTAACTTTAATTTAAAAAAGGAACCCCTTTCAGGCAGAGCCTCCTCCTAGAGGTCACTACAGAGAGTACCCTCCTTGAATTCAAGTATCCTGACAATGACGTTTCACAATAACTAGGAAACAGGAAACTACTGTATGTTGTCCTAAAACATGAAATTTGAAGAACCAGACATCTTGAGCAAAATTATTCAAAATTGGTAGCAATTTTGGTGAAATGTCTAGTATATCTACTGTATTGACTCTTATGCTGTTCCCAATGAAAAACAAAAAACTATGCAGTTTCTTAAAGGCATAAATGGGGTTAAGCAATATAGAAATACAAGTTGTGAACATAAAATACAAGTTGTGATACAAGCTGTGAACATCAAAATTTAATGCAAGTTGTGAACATCAGGTTCGATCTTATCTATTATTTTAATGAAGAGAAGAAAAACCTAGTTTTATTCTCACCAGATGGATCACCCCAAGTTTGTGTTGTTCCATTAAACACAAGAACTCTGCCTGATTGCAGAAGAACAACAAGGTTTCCACCAGAAAACACAGCCAACTTGACAGTTGCCTCAGACTGCTGGAGGTAGTGAGATAGAAGACAAATTCTATGACAAACTGTCACACATGAAATGCAGTAGGAGATATGTAAAGTAATACATACCATTAGTAAGCTGGATGACACTCTCAGCTCCACAGCAGTAGCAAAGTTGTCTTGAGTAAACAAACACTTTGAACTGAAAAGAGACAAGCATTTTAACAAATAAATGTATTTCAACTGGATACCAGGGATTTCACTCATCTAAACTGATTCTAAAGACAACAGATTGGAAACCTTTCATTATTAATCTCTAAACAGTCATTCCACACTTGTTGGTATACATTTCTTTTATATTACATGTGAGACTTTGGTGTGAAAGCACAACACCTCTGATTACACCATGAATCGGCCAGCATTTAAAATCTGATCACATTAAAATAATAGTTGTGTTAAGGGACTTCTTTAACACCTAAGGAAATGTCTGACAGTTATTCTTGGAGTCAAGAAGTCATAATAACTAAATTAAAGGAAGTCACATAATTTTAATGAGGGTTCTACCAATCGACATGTCTGATTCATTTGCTGACATTGTATGGAAAAATTTGATTTCAAGCAATCTCAGAATTCAAGAGTTAAATAAACAGACAACCAGAGTATTTAAGTCACTATGTGTACCTGTATGGCAATCACTGCAAAGACTTACCTTATAAAGAGAGCAACATGAGGAGCACATGGATCCTGAGATCAACAAAGGATTAAATAGATAGATAAGATAGATAATCGTTAATTAAACATGGTTAAAAATTTGTTAGCTAAAACTACTAATTGAAGGCTTTCGTGCAAAAAGGGCGTATATAGCATTTTGGGCCGATTTTTATTTTTTGCAGGATCGAGCTAATTTTTGGCAGACTGACTTGTTTTGACATGAAAAGCATCACTGCATAATTGTTTTTGCCGTCTTTTGGAGATCATTTGTTGAGCAAAAAACAACAGAAACCTTTTGTTTTGCTAAACAATAAAGTCACTAAAGCATGGTATTTGCCTCTAGTTTTATTATTCATGTAATTACGCAATTCTCTTACTGTTGCTTTGTTAGCACAAGTGAATAAGGCGCTGAACGGGCTGGATTTGAGTTTGTTTTGTCTTGACACCGGTTCGATACGAGGTTGGTCGATTTATTTTCCAGTCTATTTCTCTACTTCTTTCAAGTTTTTAAGTTCACACTGCATCAAAATCCACCTTCGAAGGATTCGCTCCAAAAGATGCCGCTCGGAAAACTGAGTTTTTTTGCACATGTTATTTCTCAAAAACGAAGCGCAAATCAACAAAAAAAATACACAACGATGCTTTTCATGTCAAAACAAGTCAGTGTGCCAAAAATTAGCTCGATCCTGCAAAAAATAAAAATTGACCCAAAATGCTATATACGCTCTTTTTGCACGAAAGTCTTCAATTAATAACTAATAGTAAAAAAATAATTGTCGGAATAAAAAAAGGAATAAAGTCAAATCAAAATGTCATTGACATAGATAAGCGGTCAGATCCTCAGTCATTTACTATTAACAATACTTTACTCCCAAAAAAATCAAGTAATTTTACTCCCTCTGAGGCAAGCACCCACAGGAGTGACTCGAGCTGTCTGCCTTAGAGAGAGGTTACAGGGCTCAACAAAAGTGTTGTCCGCTTGTCCAGGACAAGTAGATTTTCTCGCCAGACATATAACTTTTCATTCTCACTTGCCTAACAGGCAAGAGCTCAGGGATGTTGTCTGCCAACTAAATTAATAAAGAGCAAGCTAAGCATTCAGGGGTGCTGGAGTTCAGTTTTTTCTCTTTGAGCCATGAGGTTTCTGGCATAGCAAGAGTTAACTTAGAGAAAAACAGTTAGAACCAGTAAGTTGAAATCTTGCAATGTAAATGACAACAACCACAACTAATGTTTTTATAATGAAATCTTAAGTCATACCTGAACAATAACAGGCTGCTTGTACTGATTGCTCCCTCTCAAAATCACCTGAGAAAAAAAATGAGAAAAAACAAACAAACAGAATACACTGTTTGGAAAAGTCTATTCCAGTCTAAAGCAACCGTTGCAACACTTGGTTCCATGAGGAACATTCCAGATCATCCCAGGAAAACACCTTGAACCAAGTTTCCAAAAGCTATGGAACATTAATGGAAATTCCAAGGGGCATGTGACAGACTCACAGGCCCAAATGTTCAAAGAAAAGTATAAAGCAAAAAAGTTCTTGAAAGGTTGGGTGTAGGGCAAAAAAAAAAAACATTTGTGGTGGGGTGCGGATATTTTCTTGGACAATACAACAGTTCAAAAAAGCAGTTAACGCACCTCATTACTGGAAACTGAAAAGTGAAACTTGGTTTTTAGTAACTGAACAGAACTCCTTCTGCAAGAGATTAAACAATCCATAGTGACCTTATTATTGGTAAAATTATAGAATCACACATTCAAGTTTATTTCTCAGTAACAGTCGTCTTCGAGGCTCTAGATCATGAGTAGAGGTAAATATGGCTGAAATAAGGCAAGAAAATGGAGTGCAGAAAAAGTTGTGCCTGATAGCTGGAGGCTAGTGAACTTCTTAGTCGGGCTAGTACAGCTGTAGATTCTATCCTTTGCTCGCCTGACAGCCAAGTGAAGTTTTTTGCGGGAAGATGTCTTAAATTAATTAATCCTGCCAAAAACTTTTGGCGACTAGTGAGACTGATTTCTGGGCTAGCACATCAGATTCACAGCTTTCCAGAGAGGCAAGTTGGAAAACCGATTTTATTTGAAAACCGATTTTATTTGCACTGTCAAAAATTCAACTAAATTAACTTTGGGAACATTCAGGCACAGAAACAGTAAGAATTGTCTAACTCGTTTGAATGTTTTGAGGGCCACAGGGTCTTGCAAAATATTTTTTAAACCAACCTTATAAAGTGGCCATGGAGGGCAATAGACTGTCCATCTATCCACGCTGTCACCTGATGATTACTGACATTATCTATAGACAACTGCCAGCAGCTAAAACAAACAAAACGTTATGTATGGGTGTTACAGCTGCAGTGTTTTGTCACAGTCATGCATGAGTGTGTAAATACTGAAATTCATCTAATAGACAAAAATGTTCTTTAAGTTTTATTGTGAAACTAAGAAAACTGTGAACACCAGAAATATTAAGTAATATAAATTTTATAGAACGTCATTGTGTAGTAACGAAAAAGCAGTAAGGTGCAAGAAAACTAAACCGCAAACAGTAACGTTATGGTAATTAGTTTGTGGTTTTGAGGATTGCTTGAGTGTCCTGTACTTTATTGTGTTTGGTCAGTACACGATTGACCTGTCAGAATCAAATCAAAGCGTTCATGCTTTTCTGAGTTTCACAGTAATTTAATTCATACAGTGACCTTGCCCAAACTTCACACATGATGAATCTCCCAGAATGACTAAACTCATTGTTATCAAGCTCTACATTCAAGTACCACTACATTATTTTGGTGTGTTGGTTGACACTGACACGGTTTTTCCTTTTGACAAACCTGAATGCAATTTTTTTATGCAAAGGTTAAAACCTATAACAGCTTTATAATTTCTGTAAGGTTATGTTTCTGCACAAAACTCAAATTGAAGTAAAACCTACAGATAAAGAGACGGTTTTTTCCAATATTTATATAAATATTACAAAAACAGAAGTCCAGATAATAACTTGATATCATACAGTTTTGATAATGAAGGTACAAAAGATGGCAGTTTGCAAATTTGCATACCCAAGTATCACACTGAATGATTGGTTGAAAATCTGTAACTGATGCCAGCTGATAAACCTGTAACCCACTTTAGTTCTCACAAATGGTTTCTGCCCAAGTCGGAAGAAAACCCCACTCAGCTGCCTTGAAAACTGCAATAAAAATGCACACAATCTGATCACCAACATAAAAAGACAACTTTTCATTCTTTTCAAACCTCTGGGTGAGAGAAAAATAAATTTATGAACTTGTCTTTCAGGCAGCGTGGAAGATATAATTGATTCAAATGTATAGCAATGATGACAGAGAAGGAATATTTAAAAACTTGAGATTAACAAGTTAATGTATGTTGACAGCTTCATATTATGTGCACAGCGATAAAGAAGTGTCAAAAATGTTCAATGATCTGATATTTTCAACAAGTCACATAGCTAAAAAGAAATTAGAACATTTCTTTTGTCTAGTTAATTTGTTTACAAAAGAACCTACTTGAGATGGAAATAAAGCTGTTCCATTCTGTTCAGCATCTGACATGTGTTTTGGGTCCATAATCCACAATCTGAACTCTTCTTTACTTTCACTATGAAATATGGTCAAAGAATTTAACTAAGCCTTCCAGGGTAAACAGGATATTTACTTCTGCTCTGCAACTGTTCATTGAGATGTTCTAGTCTGTATTTCAAAGTCTACACATTATTATCACCATCAAAAGGTTGCTTTTATCCAAGGAAAATACCTTTATTAAAATTGAAGTCAACTTCTAACCCCAGTTTAAGAGCTTTTTCAAACAAGCAGGTGCAGCTTACAGCAAATATCACTAGTCAGATATGCATAACCAACCTTTCTTAACCAAAAACATTTTTCACATATTCAAAAAGTATGAAGCTTTAAACCCACTATTGTTAACGCTGGTACACCAACTGAAGACAAATTGGTCTATTGTCCCCCTTGGCGACGAGGCATTTTGAATCAATTAGAAGTAAAAGTAGAAGTAAAAGTAAAAATAATAAAGTAAGTGAAGTCGTAAGACAAAACATAATATTTAGCGTAAAACTCTGAACTTTTAGTACACTCTCATCAAAATATCACCAGTCGTAACAGCTTTTGTTTTGCCTCCACTGGAATGTTACAAGAGTAATTCAAACATATACAAGATAATGTAATGTTACAATGCAACACTGCACACACTCACTTGCTTCCATGCAGTTCTCTGTCATAAGCAAGATACCATTCATAGTAAAATGGACTGAGTAGTACATTGATGCGCCTCACAGTCTGAAAGGCAATGTCAATCATGATGAAAGCATCTGTCTCATGGTCACTGAACATTAGATATAATATTTGTTATGACTGATTTATTTCCTTCTGGAGCTTTTATCAAGTGTCAACTAATCTTGGTTTGGCTTTTAAGTTTGAAACTTAGATTAAACACCAGCTTATCTCTCAAGATGTCAATGGATCATTACCTTCCTATGGTCAGCTATAGGAAAAGACAAAGTGCAAGCAAGGTTATTATCATTCCATAAATTCCATAAATTCATGGCTCTCTTGGTCTGCGTATTTATTTGCACTAACATGAACTGTGCAATGATAATCACCTCTGCAAAGATGTTTTGGGGATTTTTAGTTTTACTTTAATTTCTTTATCAGAACCTATAATTAAAACTACTGACCTTGTCACCTGGACTACCTGTGTTGGGTCCAATATGGTGAAATCCTGGCTTTGAGCAGTGTAGAATAGCACTGTTGAAACTAAGAATGAGAAAAGATACATATCACAGAACAGCTCAGGCTAGGATGTTTAATTCAGAAGAATTTCAGTCAGACATACTTTGTCTGCTACTGTACATTAGCAAGATCTAGATCTGTCAACAGAAGAGTTCTCTCTATGCTAAACCATTATTGTTAACGTCACTCTAGGTTTTAGAAGACAATTTTAACAAATCATTAAGTGTGCTACATGTGTAAAATGCACAAGGAGATTGAACTTGCCTGTTGTTGTTTAGAGTACAGTCAGTTGGGTAACACCAGTCTACAGTTTCATTGGCCCCTAAATGTTCCACCACTATCTACAGGGAAAAAAGTCATTGTATCAATATCTTAAAAACAACACAGTTTGATTTATAGCTATGTCTGGTCTGTGGATCTGTTCTTTTTTACCTAAAACTAAGCTTAGTTAAGCTTAAAAGCTGTTTGTAATTTCCAAAAAACAGAGAGCTGTTTTTACCAAAGGATTCACTGATTCTAAATATGACTCTTCAACGTAAGCTTACACTTTCGTCTTGTAATTTTAAAAGACAACTCTAGCTGTACTGGAAGGTTTTGCGGGTTTTGTCATCCGCTATCTCAACCCCCAACCACACACTCACCGAATATCGCGTCGTAAACAAAGTCCCGTCTCCTTCTTTACTTGAATATCTTTGTTTATACATTCAAAAGAAAAGATGCATGTTTTTAAGTTTATTAAGATCGAGAGTTAAGGACTAGGATATCAGTATCACACATCCAAAGCTCTCGTGCAAAGTTTCACCAAAGCAAGATGATCTATTAAGACACTAACTCACCGCCACATTGCCTGGCCAAGTACATTGTGATACGGGAACAAAATGTTCACCAGGATAACGAAGAAATCATTCTCTATGACTGGCTTCATTACAAAACAAGCAGTGGTTTAAATAAAACTATAAAGAGAGCAAATTGCTATAGTTTTCCCGCCTTCACCCGCATCACTATCGCTATCTTGAATTACTTGTTAGGCCCCAGTCTCCTCTCAAAAGTAACAAATGTCACGTCAGCAACCACGTCCCCAGGGCTTTCTCCACTTTTCAAAATGACGGGCGTGTTGCGGCCTGATCGCGGGCGGGAGTGTTGGGGGGAGTTTGAAAATCGTCTAGGTGAAGGCCCTGGGGGCGAGGTTGACGTGATAGAACATTCGTAGAGTCATCAACCTGCACAGCAAAAACTGCTGAAGACAAATCGTGCAAGGGGAGCCATGACGGAAAAACATCGAGCTTTCTACTATCCAGGTTGTGTCTGATGTTTTTTTTTTTAAATATTGCACAAGCTATTGCCCACCAAAAAAATCGTGCACAACCTAAAGGAGTGAAAAAAATCTCACGCCCCAGAAAATTGCCCAACACCTCCCCCGCCGTCCCTCAAAAACATAATGGTCCGTCCCTTATGAGAGAATCTTTACAAATAAACGCACGCAAACGAGGAGTCAAAAACCAAGGTTTTCACAAACATTTATTTTACCATATTGACCCGGTTTTTTAATTTTAAAATTCCAATTACATTAGGAGTATTCTTGCATGTTATACCCCTTGTTTTTCATTCGTTTTTCCATGAATTAAAATATTTTACTATATTTCCTAAACTGTAACTTTCTTCATATGACACAATTGATTAGAACCGTATTTTCAATAACGCAAGCTGTTAGTGAACGAGATACGCTTCTACACAGTACAGTTCAATCACGAAACTTGAAAAAGGCATTTTATTTCTTTACAGCTAACATGTCGGAATTAAACTTGTGTCGAAGATATTTGTGGATCTCGGCTGCACGCGGATTTGAAAGACCGGGGGTTCTTCTCTCAAGTTCAGTCGCAGTGCTGTAAATAAAAAAAGATGACAAAGTAAGAAAAAAAACCTTTATTGCATCAATTAGTTTAGTTTAGTAAACACCACTCTGTATCTCTACACCACAAAGCCATACTCCATAAAACTATCTGTCAAGAACAATACTAGCAAGATAAGCTACAAGTGATGTTGGGTCAGTGATGAAAGCGAGTCTCGCGTTTTCCTGTTTGCCCATTTTGTAATCCATTTCCATCCTTGCGAGCTTTTGCCTTTATTTCATCGTCACTTCCTAATGGTTCCTCTCATTTGTCCAGTTCTGCTCTACAAAGCCAACATTATTGTTGGTTTCGCTTTGTTGTGGAAAATATAATCTTCAACAAAATCATTACCTGTTAATAATTTCCTGGAGCGTGTTGAAGGACGAACACAGATTGAGAGCAGTGACGAAACTCACTCGCGGAATACTTTGTACAACACGGAATACCTAAACAAAACATGATCAGACGATTTTACAGGAATTATTACAGGACCAAGGACAACGTATATTAAAATGACTTTTACCTACGAATCTCGCGATACTCAAAAATCATTTAGTTTGTTTCTCTTGGTCAAAACTGTCTCGAAACTAAATATGGCATGGAACAGAGCGTAAAATTCAAAATTTAAAAATTATCCGTCATAGTTCACTTTCTCCAGACAACGCAGAATTTGGTCATTTCACGTTGTTGTTTTGCAGAGGACGGCAAAGGAATGTACCAAGAATTACAATGCATGTACATAGCCATTGTTTTGCTCATTAAATCTTTTGTTTTGCGACGTTGCCGTTGTGATTGTGGTTTTCTTAGGCCCGGGTCAAACACCGTATTTCACACGAGCCGAACCCGATGACAGTTTGGGTCGACTCAAATAATTAAAAGAACGCCTGTTTGAGTCAAACGTCGAACTTAATTCAGTCGAACCGATCTGCTACACCAAACAAATAAAATCAGTCGAACTTAATTGGGTCAAACGCCGAACTTCACATGAGCCTAATTGCTTGAATTGGCAGGGGCACCCAACGGATCGTTTCGGTAAATTATCTGTTCGGAAGGCCTTTAATCCCCTCTGATTTTCTTAAGAGAATTGTCACCGCGAACTTTCGTGATATGAGAAATTTAATGTCTGTTGTCTTCGGATTGTTAAAAATGTCGTTTTGGGTACCGAAAAAAGGTCAGCTATCATTTTCTGAAAGGCGATAAGATCTAAGGTTTTGGGGGAAATGGACAAAAATGCCCTAATAAATTCGAGAATACTCAAGTTCCCCTAGAATAACCGAACAGACAATTCTTTTTAAGCGCAACCTAAAATTAACCTACAGAACTTTAAAAGTACCCCAGATAGCCTAAAACAGCGCTTAAAAGCATTCGAGAGAAAACGGTCGTTGGGTGCCCCTGAATTGGGTTCGGCTCATGTGAAGTACGGCGTTTGACCCGGGCCTTAAACGCCTTAATGTATCGGCTACTGTTACGAACGTCTCTCGATCAACTTGTTGACGTCTCTCTATTTGTTATCCACTTCACAAGTGGAATTCATCGTAACGTGATTATTTCTTACTTCTCCGCCAATCAGACTAACTCTTTTGATTGACGACCAGCAGTACTGATCTTTCGAGATTCTCGACGAAGGACAAATAAGCTTTACCTGTTCTCTCTCTTTGCTGAGAGCAATACATGCAGTGATGGCAGTTCCCTTTTTAGTTTCAATGTCCGCGAGATCCGTCAGAAGGCGAGCCGTCTCGTCTAAGATTATAACAAAGATTACAAAATTGAACTATTACAGTTTGTCCATGAAAGAATAGAATAATGCAATGCAGCTGACTGATAACTCGAAGGTTAGGAGAAATCGAGAGAGTTTCAAGTTATGGGAAGTTTTAGTTATTGCCATGATCGCAGCAAATCTTTCTGTTTATGACTCTGAAGAACTTTTAAACCATTAATCTTTGACATATGAGGTTCGAGTTATCGAGGTTAAATAAATAAAGAATTAGCCTGAATGTTAGCTGAAAGGTTAAGTTGTCAAATGTTCGAGTTACCGAGGAAAAAATACAGTAAATTTACAATGTAAGCTAATGTAGGAAGCAAATCCAGGCGGAATCAATTTTGGTTTGAGTTGAGATTCGAGTTACCAGTGGTTCATATCTCTCGAGTCATTCTCTGATAACTCTTTTGGTCACCTTGACTGAAAGTATAATGAACAAAGATGATGATTTGGTCTGTTATGTGTGTCCCTCATAAATTCGACACCGTTATACGTACATATCAGAAATACCTTGGGACTCGCTGAATATGATCTTGACATGAGTCTGTGCGATGCTTGTCAGGGTGAGGATATAGGCTTTGCTTTTAATGCTGAAATTAGACACAACGAAAATCAACAAGATATTAATCTGGGGGTAACCCTGCGATGGACTAGCATCCGGCCGTCCAGGGGGAAGTAGAAATACTCCTAGTTGCTTCATGCTACAGAAACCGGGATAAGCTCCAGTCTGATGCGCCACTTGGCTGAAACGCAGACTTCACCTTTTATACATTCGTGGCAATTACAGTTAAATACGATGAAAGGAAACACGCCCTGTATAATATGACACTAGCTTTTATACGTAACTTGTCCAATAACATGAATGGCATGAAGTGGATGGGATGCTAGTTCTTGGTGGGTTTCCCCGTCCCCCTAAACGTTTTTGTTAGGTCGCAACAACAATAGGCTATTTCCGACTACACAACCTTGCAATTCATACGCAATACACCTGCTAGTAAAACTCATTTTCACACGAAAGACTGTTTAGGAGGAGTCGCTTTGAAACAGAGGTAAACGGAATCTTTGAAATGGCGGATTCGCCACTAGCTATTAGGATTACCGCAAATGCAGTCAGGCACTACCAGAGAAAAGCGTCCCTTTCAAGAATTCACTACAGTGACCCTTGCCAGTCTCTCGATCATCTACACGTCTTTAACATAAGCCGCGGGCTATCAAATTTTAGCAAATGAACGATTCCACCGATGAGCGTTTGCGCTCATGGAGGGCAGGGAGAATCAGATGGGTCGGTCAGTAAAATACACAACACCATTAATACTTGGTCAAGTTTTGAGAAGATAAATCATAACCGTGACAATGTTTGGATATCTCATCTTAATTAGCATAGATCTTATTGTTTACTCTTTAGTTTTAGTTTCAGTTGAGAAGATCTATCGAAGACTCGAGATGGTGTTTCACCACACTTCCAAACTCTTCGAAGTTCGTCAGAACTACTCCATGTACGTCGTATTCTCATCATAACTTCAGTTTTTTTTCTGAAATGTGGTAAAAAAAAAAAAACGGTCTTTCGTGTTTAATAAACTGATACTTACAAGTGCTTTTCTGTTTCGCCAGGCTTGACGCGATCTTTTTCAATAATCAAGCACGGCCTGTCGTACAGATCACACATCCGGCGCATGTACTCCACAAGCTTCTGACTGTTGGCTCCGTTCGCAACATCTAAAGAAAAACGTCATTTATTTCAATCAGCAAGTGAGATAAAGATCTTATTTGTCCTTACAATAACAGAACCAAGGGGAGCAAGAATGGTGCAGTGGTGAGAGCGCTCGCCTCCCACCAATGTGGCCCGGGTTCGATTCCGGCCCGGTGCCATATGTGGGTTGAGTTTGTTGTTGGTTCTCGCCTTGCTCCGAGGGTTTTTCATCGGGTTCTCCGGTTTCCCTCCCTTCACAAAAACCAACATCTCCAAATTCCAATCCGACCAGGGATTTAAGTCTACCATTCTACAACTTGGGAATATCTTCTTAATGGACCAGCACAGTCGGGATAATTAACAAAAATAACGCCCAGATTCTGTAACAGTACACGAAAATTCCGGATGAATTTTACTAAAACCTGACTTACCGGAAGCTGTTTTTCTCTTGACAGCCATTCTGTTACTGACAATGTAGTCACAGCTGGTCAGCTGACACACCTCCGCCCTGATGTTGTGTTTTAGGCGCAATAGCGATACCACCTGTGGGGGAAGGGGAAGGGATAGTCAGTGACTGGGAAAAAGCATTCAGACAACTCGTGACAAATGCCGACCGCGACTGAGGGAAAAACCGCATTTAACGTTCCTTTTGTTCAAAAGAACTAAAAGACTCTTTTTAGAACCTGTTATGGTTGTAGAACAAAATGGATGACAGCAACAGAAATAGCGTGATGAAATAGAACAAATTCATATTGTCAGTATTGGATAGGAACTAGCTTGACTGAGGCAAATGACATTAATCTCTTATTAATGACATTCCCCCGCATGGGCCTCCATTACAAGCCAGTTCCAGTCCCCCCAGTATCGAGAATACGAATATGGCCTATTAGTTAAAGTGCAAGGTATTTTCATACAGACCTTTTTCAGTTTTAAAACTTTCAAAATGCCATAGGAATTTGTAGACGTTAGTGGTCTAAAAATTGACAATCACCCTCTTACGAATTTTCGCATCCGTTTCACAGACAATTTTACGATTGACAAGGTCACGTGACAGGTTATTCAAAAGAAAAAAGGCCTATTTATTTGGAGAAGAACTGATACCTGAGAACTGGAGATCTCCCGAGTGTCAACCAAAATGACGGTCTTTCCCTTGTCTTTCTGAGATGACTAAATTGAAAGAGAAAATTAACAACAAAATTTCAATAGGGTTAGTGGCTATTATTTTAACAAAATCTTTCAGTCGTCCAAAGAAAAGCTACTGAACGATATATAAGTTCGCAGGGACTGTCACGATGTCTGGTTTTCATATTTCTTTCTCAACACCGTGATGCGACATACAACGTTAAACTCACTGGAAGGGGATGTGAACTTGCCACTATGTGTCAAAGAAAACGAGCAGTCTACTGTTATTACATCACCTTGACGTCATAGGTTATGTCACATTGCTTAGCGACAAGTTAACGTGACAACTTTCGTAATGATCGTCGCTATTTTTGAGTGGATTTCAATCTCGTTCCCAGACTCTTCGTTCCCCTTGACCAGCGGTTGGAAAACGAGAGCTCTGGGAGCTACCATTTTGAAATAACCGAATTCTGTCCATCCGGTTTCACTGCGCAGTCTGCATCTATGACGCATGCCTGAAATGGTTGCTCCCAGAGCTCTCGTTTTCAGACCGCTGGTCGAGGGGAACGAAGACTCTGGGAACGAGATTGAGTGAATTTGCAAAAATCGGCCTCTGTTATCCCGGTTCTTTCAATGATTTAATTTTTACCGTGAGTAGCGGACTAATCGTGGGCCTGGTACCGACATTATTGGGACGACATGATGGCGTAACAACTTGCAACTTTGCATGCGGATTGGCAGCAGAAAGCTGACCACCGTTGTGTGAGGAACTTTTATTCTGCGCCGTCAGTGAATTGTTAAAAACCTGTCTCTGATCAGAAACAACCGAACTTCCACCAAAGATGTTTGAGTTTGTGACTTTCCGTGGTACAGCTTTTGTTGATTCCAAGGCTGAACACGACATCTGCTCAATGTTGACCTTGTTCACCGTAAGTTGACCCCTGAACTCCGGGCAAGATATCTCCGAGTTTTGTCTGGAATGCTGGGTTATCTTGGTGAAATTTGGAACCTCTGCGCCATTATATCTGTTAATAGACCCAGTACAGTTTTCATTCCTTTGTTTAAAAAATGTTACCGCGTTGTCTTTCGCAGAGTTCCTGCCTTCCTCGCTCTCGCTGTTCGTAGAGGTTACTTCCCACAAAAAGTCGAAGCCAAGGGAGAAATTTGGAAGTGTGCTGATTTCCATGGAGACGTCGTTATCTGTCATATCCATGGCGTCTGGATTTTCTTTGAAGTCCTGATCGTGAAATTTGTCGTTTGATTGTGGCTTCGAGCTCCTAAGGGTAAAATCCAAACAAAATGGCTAAAGATTGAAAGTGATAATAATTACCCTTACTGTAAATCTTCTAAATATGAATATATGAAAGATCATATCTTTGCAGACTTTGTGACCAGCTCCCAGTTGGCTTGATGGCTCAGTTGGTAGAGCGCTGCACCGGTATCGCAGAGGTCATGGGCCCGAATCCCGTTCAGGCCTGAATGTTTATTTCGGGCTTTAATTTCACAACTGCTTAAGTTATCTGATCTTCGCAGTTATCTGCATAACTGCGGAGATCAATCATGTCTTTAATCTTTCTCAAATATATGATCTTTCATATATTCATTTGTATTCTTCATCATCTACGGGTATATTACGAACTCATAAAGTGACCAGCTCCCAGTTGGCTTGATATCTCAGTTGGTAACGGTTTAATACCGGGAGGATCTAAGGTATGAAATATGTCCCGCATATGTCAAAAATTTTTCGTATTTTTCATTTCATCAAAAAACCGCCTCCATAGATCAATTTATCATACTGAATTTAGTAAGCGGTGTGCCCTAGCATACATTTTGCTTTGTACAAATTAGCAAATCTAGGGTCCCATATTTTCACGACTTTGCAATGGATCGATCATTCTTCTGAAACCTCACGTATTTATCGAACTTATTTTTTGCGCTTATTTTTTGTTTGAATCGAAAAATCGGAGAAGCGTGAAATCGGTAAAAACGTCCTTTAGGTATTACTGTTTTATTGTCCAAACGTTTCACTTACTTCACAGATGTTCTATCAATGGAAGCCTGTTCAACTTTGTCTTCAAGAGCGACCAACAACTCACTGTCACTGATGTCATTGTTCCATTCATCAACGAAAGCTCCCGATCTGCGCATGTTCCCTTTGCTGGCCTCTGACCGCCTCAAGGTCGAAGTGTTGTCACGCAAGCTCTTTTTATTGGCTAAAGCTTCGGATGACTTGACAAAGTCACCTTGAAAAGGATGTCCTACTGCCGTGGGTCTCATTGAAAAGTTCCCAAATGCACCACTCTTCCGTTGCCGAGCCACACTCATTTGCGCCTTACTACTTTCTGGGACAGCCAACGCGTTATTCTCGAAAATATTTTCCTTGTCGCAAGTTTCTGACAAATTTCGCTGTTTGTTTAATTTGGGTGACACGTCTTCGTCACAGCTATCGTCTAAAATTCGCTTCCTCTTCATACGTTTAACAGGGCGCCCAATTTGACTTTCCTCGAATGGTGCGTCTGCGCGTGCGTGAGCGTTAGCTTGAGCGCTCTCACCTCCACGCCTAATGGCCTCATTTTCATGCTCACTTTCTGCCTCGTTTTCGTTCACTGCTTCGCCCTCGTTTTCAAGAACGCTCACTGTTTCGTAGGTTTCTTCAGCTTCAGAAGCGGACTGGCTATCTTCTTCATCAGCTCTGTACTTGTAAACCATTTTGTACTTACTTCTTTGCTTATGAAACGCAGGCGTTCTAAAATTCAACGCGCCACAGAGAGGACTCATTAGAGATTGTCTATAAACCGCCATCATGTCCATAGGCGAGCTGGTGGGTCGCGGTTTTGTAGCTGAAGGAGTTCTTTGTGTCAGCTGTGTGGCATCGTCTATAAAGCTGTCCATTTCGTCCTCGTCTTCGCCGTCTGTTTCATCCGACGAGAAGTCATTGATGTCAGTGCCGGATAATTCTGCTTCGTCGTCTAGGAAATGATTATTGCGGAATCTTTTGCCGTTTTTCTGTAAAAATTATTATCCGACATTAGCAAAGTAAGAGAGCAGTTTTCTATTGAGTGTCGAAAGTAACCAGTCAATGATACTGGTTTTGGTTTTGGTTTTACTACGGTTTGAGATTGGATGAGTACATGTCTCTAATTGCTAAGAAACTGGTTTGGTTTTGGTTTTACAACACTCAATTGAAAACCGCTCAAATAAAAAGTTTGATGATAAACTAAATCATCAGTACATCATCCTGTATGTGTTGAGCGCCAAAGTACATTTTTCAAATATGAAAGAAACTTCTACTCTCGAAACGGACACGGCCTAAATTTTTCAACTTAGAGTCACATTTTTCGAGTAAGGAAAAGATCGCTGGACCAACTAGATCAATAAATGTCGACTAATAAATGTGTTTTGAAAGAAAAAAAAGGAAAAAAGTCAACTCAGCCGCAAAGCATACAAGACGAAAGTTGATTTGGAGAACTTACATGTACTTACATGAACTGACTCACTCACTAGTAATAACCATTTACAACACTTCTCTTCGCGTGGTATGTTCAAATGAGTTTGACCTCGACAAGAGCAACTTTCGCAGAGGAAAAACAGAAATTAATGTGAGGACGTACTGACCTTCCTGAAAGAGTCCAGCGACTTCCGTGTACCTTGTTTTGACGTAATTTCAAGAGAATTTCTCTTCTGAGCCCTGGCTTGAACTTGGACAGAGTTCGCCTCAGGTCGGCTTCGACCTGCTATAAAGAAAGATCAGATTTAAAGAGAGTATACATGACAAACACATTTAGCAAAATCGCTCTTAACACAAATTAGTCCGATGTACATTTCTCTCCTGCGCTAAATTTCTCCGCTACATTTTGTACTCCAGAAACGTCTAAGGCTGGACCCGAAAAATTCCAAATTGATGACGAAGCTTCGAAGAGATCCGCTCCTCTGATTGGTTGTTGCTACTTGCGAGCGAAAATTCGAAGCCGAGCAATAACCAATCAGAACATTTCACATAGCTTTGCAGACTACGTCATCAGTATGGAATTATTCGGTTCCAATTCATACGTCTTCCGCGCGGGAGAAGAACTGGGCACGTGAAAGGATACGGCTGTTTACAAAAGTTAATTACCCATAGCTTGGCAGATCTACGTCATCAGTATGGAATTATTGGGTTCCAATTTCATGCGTCTTTCGCGTGGGAGAAGAACTGGGCAAGTGAAAGGATACGGCTGTTTACAAAAGTTAATCAGGCCACGCAGTGAAAACTCACCCGATTTATCAGTTTCGAACTCCTCGTCGCTCTCGGAGACCAGTTGAAGATGACGAGACGACAAACCATTTAGCTGGTTATCACCTTGTTTTCCAGGATTGGCCGGTATTTTGAAGCCTTGAGAACACGGGCTGGAGAAAGCTTGCCTCCTACGAGAACTCGCCTTCCCGACAGGACGGATGTCTTCTTCATCGTCATCATCGCTGTCCATTACCGCCACCACATTACCGTTTTCAGTTCGTAAATTTGTAGAATTTGCTGAGAGGTCTTCACAGTCCAGTGATGGGCCTCCGAGAGCCGTACCCATTGCAAGAGAGTGTTTCACTGACATTTCCGAGTCCTTATGTTTCATGGCCAATGATGAAGATTTCGCCTCAGGCTCGTTTAAGTTCGCAGAGCAGAAATTCTCCTCCTTTGGGTTCATGTTTAGCGATCTTGATGCACCAAAGTCTATTGATTTTAATTCGTTAACGGGAAAATGTTTCTCCTGCCTTTTCGTTGCTGGCATTCCTTTGTCTTTAGGAGAGGTTCTTTTTAAGCTCAGCTTAAGCTTCTTTGGAAGTGGTGTCCTACAAGCATTGTCACTAACATTGTTACCAGTGATGTCACCACCGTCACCCTCCTCATCTCTAGTTTTGATACTTGTATTGCCACTGACATTGTTCCCAATATTGTCACCAACATCGTCATTTCCACTTGCGACCCTCTCTCTACTTGTTAATCCAGTCAAATGCGATTTTCTCTCGGGTCGTTCCCCTTCGCTGTCCCGACAGGGTAACCCGTCCCGAAAAGCGCCCGTGTGATTACTTGGTTTCATACCTAACCTGCTAGACAGTACTTTGTTTGACAAGTTCGTTGCTAAAGGTGGAGCTGCCCCTGAACTCCTGCTAGCATCCAGCATACCTACATCTGCCTCACTGTAAATAGCATTTGAGTTAGAGTGCTCGCCTCTCGTACGGACATGTAAAGTTGATCTTGGTTCCATCGGCAACGTTTTTTCTTCCTTTTTCAGGACACCAATTTTCTCCTCTTCAGAGTGAGAATCTTGATTGTTTGTGGAACTGCGTTGAAAAGCACTCAGTTTGCTAATAGACTTTCTAAGATCCACGTCACCTGAAGCTACACATTGTCCGGCGGCAGCGACATTGCTCTTGTCAACATGTTTTGACGTTCCTAACCTGGTTTCAGACACATTTACGTCCGATTCTGTTACATTCGCTGATTTATTGCTCACCCATTCACTTTCCAGCAGCAGGTCTTTCTGACCAGTGTCTTTGCGTTGGTCGCTTTTGGTGTCATTCACACCAACGTTATCATCTTCGGGCAGCGTTATGTTCGTGAAAGCGACATCATCGTCAGTCACGTCCATGAAGAAGGCTTCTCCAATAGTAGCATCCTCTCCTTTTATTGGACTCTCGCAACCTACGTCAGCCACAATATCATTCGAGATTCCACGCGTGTCACGATCCTTCGTGCCGCCACGATTGTTGAACCCCTTCGCGATTTCTCGCGAGCCTTGTTCTCCACGTAAATCATATTCAGATTTAGAATTCTGGTTTTCAGAATTTCGATATCGCATTTCTCCACGGGTAGGTTTGTCAATACGGGTTTTGGTTGCAGTTTCTGAAGAACAATCTGAAGTCGAGGTAACCCGACCTTTCTTCTCATTACGAATCATTTTTAGCATTTCGCCTTCACTTGCTTCAGCGTCAGTATTTTTCTCCTCGTCTTGAAGAAAGTCTCCCATGAGAAATGGTTCTAACTCACTTTCAAAACAAACCCTCGGTGACAAACTCGGTGAAACTGGTTCTGATTTATCCATCACGTCTTTTTCAAACGGTTTTTCTCCAAAATATTTTCGCTGAATCTCTTCAAAGTCCATGTTAAACTCCTCAGGTTCTACGTCTGCAGACGATAAACTCATCTTGTCCAACGCGTCTAGTGAGGGCGGCGTCGGCACTGAGGCCATCAGTAATGGAAATCGCTCATTTTGTAGCTGAAAACCTGGAACAGAACCCTGAGAGTAAGGAGTTCCGGCAGGAAAAAGATTTGTCATTTCGTCAGAGGCGGCATCAGAAAGATCATCACCATCGCATTCTTGAGTGCGCGTTATTTCTTTGTGTGTCGCTGCTGCTTTGTTGTTATCGTTCAGTCTTGTATGGTTGTTATCAACTCCTGCGGGCTTATCATCTGGTTTCCAAGGATCCCCTATGTCTGGCAAATCATCGTCAAGTGCTTCGTCATCCGCTCTTTGTAAACAATTATCAACAACCTTGTCTTCATCGGGCACAACGGCAGCATTCGCACCATCACTTTCGAAATCTTCATCTTCCTGGTTGTCAAACTGATTAAGAAACGCTTTCCAGCGTGCTTTGTTCTCCGGGGAGCGCTTTTTAAATCCCTTACTCTTCTTCTTTGCAGTGTTGCCATTTTCACCATTCCCTTCTTTCCTCGAACTTTGTCCATCATTTTCCGCGTCAGTCTCATCTTCCATTTGAAGTTTCTTTCGAGTCTTCTTTCCCTTCTTTGTAATTTTACTTGCGCCTTCGTCTGCCTCGCAAGCAACATCCGGATCAGTTTCAACCACAAGGATCTCCTCTGCATCTTCCTCTTTTTGCCCGGGCTTTAAGATGTCTTCTTCGTTCAAAAACGACATCATTTCTAGATCATAACTTTCATCGTCATCTCCTCGCCCGCCCTGAAGCTCCGTGAACTCTAACAGTTCAACTAAATGTTCCGTGCGACGAGAGTGCGTGACAGCTTTAACAACATGTGGTGTGGTCTGCCAAGGGAGCCATTCCGACAGAGAGGGCTGCGTGACAGGTTTCTTAGCTTCTGATAACGAGCGCCTTGATTTCTTCGTGACAGAGAGCTTTGGCGTCAAGCCTGCTTCGTGTTCCGGGAGCTTGAAATGCTCTTGCCAGTAAACCAATTCTTCGTAGGTCAAAAAGCCGTCACTCTTCTTGGATGTGGCTGTTGATGACTTCGTAGTGAAGTTTTTGATGTTTGCTCCGTCTGAAGGCCTTTTCTCTTTCTTGCCTTTGCTGTAAGAGAAATAATATGCTGTGCTCAATTCACGATAGTATGTCATCATCAAACTAAAAACAACTGTCTGGAAGACTGACTGTTTGTCTGTCGGTATCGGACTGACTGACTGTCTGACTGACTGTCTGTCTGTATCGGTTTGTCTGTCTCTTTGTCTCTCTGTCTGTCGGTGGGTCTGTATCTGAATGCTAAATGACTGTGTCTGACTGACTGACTTACTGTGTGTGTCTGTAAGTCTGCCTGCCTGTCTGACGTACGTACTTACGGACGGACGGACCGACAAACTGGTCACCAGCTGACTCACTGGCTAACTGGCCGATCCAATGACTGCAACACACCTTTGACCAACAAATTTTCCAACTGTCATCTCCATTTTGAGCACAGCAGGAGTGATCTGCCGCGGAACCATGCGGTGATTGTTCGTGTACAAATCAAATGACTTGGCTGCCTGCGTCACGGCTTTGTGAATTGACTTTTTGCTCCTCTGACTTTTCATGTAAACCTTACAAGGACACAATATTTAAATTAATAGGAGATAATTTAAATTAGGCCTAGTTTAAAAAGTCACGTTCTGAACCGAGTGTAAACCAGCAGCCGCACTTGGGAGAGCGGACAACAACATTACTTGCAAAAAATTTCGGACCATTTTAATTTCGGTCAAAGAAGTGTCCGGCCCAAAATAAAACCGTCTGAAATTTGTAAGCCTTCGATTTATTTACAGTACAGAATAAAACTTTGAAGTAGCTCCAAAGCTCTTAGTTTCCTTTATGCCGAGCTTTATGGAGCGAAGTCTAGTTGAGACACTGCTTGACATACGTAACGGCTTAACAGAATTTGTATTACTTTCTCGTCGGTGTATTCGTGGAACCTCAGGGCTTCAGTAAAACTATCATTTTCGCAGATGTTGTTTCAGTCTAATTCATGTTTTGTGGGCGTAAATTTACTATAGCTTTGTTTCAGCGGTGTCCGAAATTGTTGCCCGAAATTTGTCCGACATGAGATAAGAAGTGTCTGAAATTAAATCGTCCGAAATAAAACGTCCGGAATTTTTTCGCAAGTAATGTACTCATCCACGCAGTTTTCACCTTTAGTTGCATTACAGAATCCTGTGTACACCTCACTCAGCGAGCCATTAGCTGAGAATACCACACCGCCGATTATCTAATAAACATTTTATAGATAATCGCCCCACTGGTATGGAAAGATTTTTTTTTTAAAAGGTTACCCTAAAACAAAACAGAAAACATGAAAATGGGAGGCTCCAGTTTCCATCAAAGCTAGCTAGATAACGAGAAAAGAAAGTCAGAGAGGATGTACGGCAAAAACTACCAAAATTCTTGAACTATGATCAAGAGAGGAATCTTTGAAAATCATTATGATATCCTTCGCTGCAGACACTCGAGTAACAAAAGGGCGCGAGTTGCAGCAATGCGACGCGCGTGCCGTCCTCGCGTTCTCGTCTCGCTCTTGGAGACCGCTCCAACTCGCTCCGTCATGATTACTGCTGGAACGCAAGCTACCCATGCTATCATTAGGAAGAACTTAGACCCAACTACATGTATCCCACAGTCCTATGTACCTGTTCTTCTTTGCCTTCAGTAACAAGAATAACTATTCGTCCATCTCTCTTTCTTCCAGTTCGCCCCATTCTCTGTACCAGACGGATTGGTGACGCATGCGCATCAAAACATACAATGAGGTCAACCTCGCCGATGTCCAGGCCCTCCTCGCCAACACACGTGGCCACGAGCGTGTTATACCCTCCTTGACGAAACCGCTGGACAACCTGGAGATGACACGAAATGTGGATTACGTCACAGCGAAATTTCAGGAAATTTGTCTCCTGTTGTTTGGTAACACTAGCATTACTGCTTGAACACGTTCCACTGGGTAAAACCATATCAGACTGGTTGGGTTTGTTTATTTTTCTCTTTTTTTATTGTGCTACTGGAAAAACAAAAACAACAACACTAACAACACCATACTAAGCCTAAACTGAAGCTGTTAACTTGAGATAGACGTCTGTTCCAATAAGCTACGCTAATCCTCAGAACAATAAAACAGCTGGAAAAGAGTTTATTGGCAAATGTTCATCGACCAAATCAACAAAAACTGATACTTATCCGAAGCGTAGCATTACCTGAAGCTGTTCTTTCTGTGTCAGTCCTCTTGTACTTTTTCCAGTTGATTGCTGTCCAATAAAACTCATCACACGCACTGCAGGCTTGTGGTGAGATAACATGGCCGCTATCTCGTTCACACTGTCCCTGTACTGAGAGAATATCATCACACGCGTGGCCACACCCTTTTTCTCCTCACCGCTCTTGTCTTGGAACTTTTCAAAATGCTCAAGAACAATCTCTTTCAGTTTCAATAGCTTGGGATGACTTTTGAATGTAGTGCTGGGCTTCGGTACATTCATAAGAGCACGCCTTCTCGGCGAAAACTGTGAGAACAACAGGCTTTCATTCGCACTGCTTTCCATCGGGGGTTCAATTTCTTCTCGTAATTCATCCATGAGTTGTGTAAATTCGTGGTTCTTGGTGATTTCGGCCTTAGCCCGCGCCATTCCTTTCGTTCCGTCAATGATCGCCTTGATGAAGTTGTAGAATGATAGGATGCCATGTTGTAGTAGGAGCTCATATGCATGGTACAGGCTGATGCACATGGCAAAGTCCCCCTCAATCAGCCCCTGACGATTACGATCCTGGAATAAAAAAATAAAAAAGTTAATAAAAATTTGGTGTGAAGAAAATGACTGAAATGAAAATCAGGAATTCTGAAAAATAAAAGGAAAAGTTTTATTCAACCCAACATGATCTGTTTAAAGTTTACAGTTTGTTGCATTAAAATCTCAAAACTGGCTCTGCCAATCAGGATGCCAAAGTACAATAACTCAATTTGTGTTAAGTGATCCCAAATTCAACTCCTCCACACTTGGTTAATAGCCAACTGGTCAGCATCCAGCTTCTTTACATGTCTTATACATTTCTTATCCACAAGCTTCTAGCTTTAGATACGCGCCGTGCATAAATAGAATTGCTTTGCTTTTCTCGGTTGGCTATTGCTTTTCTTTTTTCTTTTTAGCATTGATACTGTTCAGTGTCTTTTCAATCTCTTGCTTACCATATCTACTGGTATCAAAAAGTTAGGAACATGTTATTTATATATAGGAAACTAAAACATGATTTAAAGGAAGTCATATAACTGTCTACAGACTCAAGAGAATTCAGTTGCGCTACAAAAGGATGAACATTTTTCTTACAAATCCTCCTTGTTCGTTCATTCGTTTCCTGTATTGATCTCGTGCTGTCAACAACATAAATTTACTGACTCGCTGAGGATCAGTGTTCCACAGAACTCGCTGACAAAACAACCGGCCTACAATAGTTTCTAAGATCTGTAAAAAAAAGCAAACATTGATTAGTTATTGTTATTATTTTGCTCAGAGCCTTGTTTTGAGAAGGAATAGGCCTTGTCATCAGAAGGAATTATGTGGTTATGAAATGGTTGGGTTGTCATTAATTTTGGAAAAAGGTTTTAGTAGAAAAGTCCCTGAACACACTGAGAACTGGTTGGGTATATATTTGGACACGATTTTGCTAAGAAGACTTGGAAAGTATTATCTGAGAGTTTTCTGTGTCTCAGATTCAGGGAGCTTATTTTCAGGGGGCTGGAGAGCCTAGTTTACAGTATTTGATCAATAGTGTGTTGGCATTCCTATTTCTCCCAAACATCCACTTGTGATTACTTGATAGAAACACAGCAAACATTTTATATTTCTGTAGCAATTCTATTTTTTTCTGAAAGTTGGAAGCGTATGAATTCTTGGTGAATTCATTTTATGGGTTTCAATTTCATTTTGTCTTCATAATCATGCTGGAATGCTGTGTAAAATGCACTGTTGGCTAGTTTTAAACATCAGAGTTAAAGCTGAAATCACTTTAAAACAAATCTCAATCAGTGAAGAGAATGAACATTTTTAGATTGAGATAAAAATGTTCTTGTACCTTGAGAAATGAATTCTTAACTTTAGCAATATCCTCTCCGAGTGAGACCACCACCTTTTCCACCAATCGGCTGTGAGTATAGGGCTTGATATCTATTGACTCTTCAGAACGAAGCTCCATGTGTGAAATCAAAAGATTGGTGATGACTTGCTGGACAGCCTACAAAAAATGAAAACAACAAACAAATATTATCAAATAATACTACAAGTTGTTAACCTGGCAATACCCTCGATCAACACTTCATCGATTCTCCATCAACACCTAGTAGGTTGACACTCCATTGACATTCGACCGACATGTTGGTTGACAGTTGGTCGAGAGACGACTTATTTTCGATCGATGTATATATATATATATGAGTTGATCGACAATTGGCCAACTATCAACCAACTGTTGTTTGAATGTTGATCGAGTATTGTTTGGGATGTCGATCAAGTGTTGATCAAGATATTGATTGAGTGTGTCAATCACAGGTCAATAAAGGGTGTCGATCAACACTCAACCGCAGATGCCTTTAGTACACATGATCCCAAAGATTTATCTAGTTACCTAAATATTTATTAATGAGTTCACGAAAGGTTACAATCTGTTCCAATCCTCTTTTGGAGAAGCTAAGGAGTATATTAATTAGTGTTGCTGTTAGTGGGAGTAATGATACTTTCCACAGATGAAATGCTAAATGATTACTCCCCCAAACTGAACATTGCCATTCATTTATATTGCCAGTTGAGGTCTAAACTCAATCTTGTTTCATTACAAAGCCAGATAATCCATTCTAAGAAAATTGTGCTCACAGGTAGCTGTAGCAGCTAAAAATTTAAATGTTTAAACTATCAAAAGAATAATATTGAATGTGATTATTCACCTCAGGATTATCTCCAGGTGTTGCACTGAGGGCAAGTACTCTAAAATTCCTGGTGTAACCAGAGATTTCACGAACAACCTGTATGGAACAATATATAGGTGTTATCAAAGAAAGAAGAAATATTAATAGGAATATTAAGAATATTGACTACACTGATGACTAAATGAGACCATTGCAGATCCACCAAGCTCAATATCCAAGTTGCTAATGCAACTTTTATTTTGATTTTTCCCCTTTTTTTGGTGTTGGTGTTTTGGAAAACTCAAGAAATCAAAGGTACTGCCCACTTGGAAATGATGGCTTTACACCTACATCTTAAAATCACCATGTCTTGTTGTTAGCCACAAAAGGAACTGCACACACCAACATAACAGCTAAGGTTCATTGCTGATTCTGTAAACTTGGAAATTCTGGGGAGAGAGGATTGAATCCTCTCCATACTATCGTAAAATTACAGTATGTATAGTCAAAGAACATTTTGGGCCTTTGGTTTTTGGCCATAACATGCTACTGTATATGATTAAATGTACTGTCCCCAAAAGTAAATACTGAGGAGGTAAACATGACATGTCTTACCTGACAGTAGGCATGATTTCCAAGCGCTTTGTGAGCTTCATCAGCCACAAGAAGAACAACTTCTTCTGCCTTACATGATCCACGGTTCAAATCATTCTGAAGAACTTGAGGAGTGAGAAAGAAAACTCGCCGGCTCTGCCACATGGATTGTCGTTTATTAGGAGCCATGTTTCCTGGCAAGGGTAATGACAAAAAAGAACATGGTAATGGTTAAAATTTAGTAAACAGCGAACTAGTTTACAGGGGTAAGGTGTTCCATTAATGGACAGGCCCTGGGCAAATTGACCATCTGTGAGAATGATTTTGCCTGACTGGTTTGACCATCCAGAGGAAAGATTTTCTTACGATTTTCTTATAAAAAAGTTCAGCTCAAAAGGTTTTGGCCACCTGTGAAAAACAGTTTCCCTTCTGCTGTAAAAGCTATGAAACACCTGAATTTAGCTTTTCAGGTATTTTGGGTGACCGGCCCCTTGATGTATTTTTTATTGATTTCATATATTAATGATTGCAATAATTATATGTGAGGACTCTCTTTTCAATTATGTACAAACAGCTTATTCATCTTCCCCAAGTTCATCTTGTAGTTTGTCATTGAAGATGTATTAAAGCAGACAGTTTTTCTTGGTGCAGTACATAATATTTCTTGAGGCATCCTCATGATATGGATTATGCACCTCCAGCGTAAATTGGTGCCTGCTGTGTGCAGGTCAACCAAATTTAGTTTCTGGTGGTCTCTGATAATAAAGCATCCAATCCAACAAGACCTTCACACCATACATTACCACAAACCACCGGTTACATCAATTAGTCTGGGAGCAGTTCCACTAATTTGAGGTCTAATGCAAAGTGTCTCACCTCCAATAGGTTAAATTGCCCACAAACTACAGTTGCACAAATCTTCAGACATTTTTGGACTCGTTCAGGTTGTATTCAAAAATCCTGGCACTACCAAGATAAATACCTCACACATTTGACTCTTAAAATGTTGGCAGGTTTAGTGTGCAGGTTAAAACCACACTAGAATGACTAATTATTAAGTTGTAGAATTCACTACCTTCAAAGGTAGAGGTTCAAATGTCGCTGAATGTGAGCGTGTTATAGACCAGTGTCAGAGTTTTTTCAGGACATTGTGACTTTGGTGATGAAAAGACTCAGAAGGTTTTACATTTCATATAGGTGGTCTGTCTCGTATGGGTTCTACCTTTTTCACGTGTCACCCTTATGGCTTTATTTACAATCCTTTTGGTTTTATTTACAATCCCTGTGGTTTCATTTTCTTTCTTTTCTCACCTTTTATTGATTAGTATTGGTAATCATATGAATGTGAGTGTAAATTAAGGATTTACGCCACAAGTGATATTTGAAAAGCCTCTCAAAATTGCACGAGCCTTTGGGCGAGTGCAATTTGAAAGAATTTTCAACAATCACAAGTATTAGTGTACATCCTTAATTTTTTAATCTTTCAAACAATTACTCATTTATCACATGAATGATAAAATTACAAAAGTTTGTACATAAATTTGCAAGGCAATAATAATAATAATAATAATAATAATAATAATAATTATACAGGGGGCAGTCTCACATAAAGTGGTTTTCAGAACAGCCCTGTGAAAAATATAATAAAAACGTAAAAGCTATACAAAACAATGCTACTCAAATGTAAAAGATACAATATAAATAAAATATGATAAAATTAAGGCATGCGTTCAAGTTTCTTTTTAAAAAGTAAAATAGATTCATTTTCCTGTATTTCAAGACTTAAAAGGTTAAAATCGAGAGCTGCTTGGTATGTGATTTTTTGCTTTGCCCAGTTTGTTTTCGGAGCAGAAAGGTGCAGATTCTTGTGCTGGCAGGTATTATAATAATGAATGGCATTATTTTGTCTAAAATTAAATAAAAAAATTAATGATAAATTGGCCTGCTATCAGCCAATCACAACTACGTAATTTTATAAGTTATATAAGAGGACATATAATAAGCCATTAATTTGTAATAAATAAAATAACTGAGAAAACTTATGCCTACCTGTCATTTCAGCAGTGTCAGACTGTGGAATCCCCATAATATTGTAACAAGCTTCAATTTGTTGTGCAACCAGTGGTTTTGTGGGCGCCATAAATATCACCTTTCCCTGCGGGTACCACCGATAGAAATTGTACATGATGACAGCCGCAATAAAAGTCTTTCCCAAACCCGTTGGTAAAGTCACTAAAGTATTCTTGAATAGGGCTTGTTCTACAATATTATACTGATAATTCCTTATAGGATAATTCGTTGGGTAGATCCAAACATTTCCAGCTTCGAGATCGAAACCAGGAATAACTTCAGCATCATCCGGATTGCATGTAATGTTAGTTGCCTTCCTTTGTCCACCGCCATTGTATTTAGCTCGGAACTTGGCCTCGTCGAAAGGAATGATTCCTTCTGCAGCAGCCAGCAATTCATCGTCGTCGTCGTCATCTTCCAACTCTACCATTTCGTTTGGGTCAAACAAGCTGCAAGCCCCCTTATGAGCTTGACTGGTATTCGGTTCATTCCTGTTCGAATTCGGATTTCTGGACGTGGAAGATTGAGCTGAATGACCCCAACTGGTTTGAAACAGCGTCGCTTGATTCACTTTTGATTTCTTCATTTTGCATCACTAACCAAAGCTTCGCCAAAAAAAAACCAGTTCATTCTACACAGCCTTACACAAAGAATGTACAGACGTGTCTTCCTGGCTTTTATTCTACATTCTGGCAAAGAATACGACATTTCATCATTCACCCTCTTCGCGCCCACGGAGCCGCCATGTTGATTATGTGATCGACTGAAAAATTGCGCGCTACGATCATGTGACAAAAATTCACCAATCAGCGTTTAGTGACATTCTATGGTAGTCTAGTCACCAGTCTACTAACAGTCAACTTTTATTCCATCCTGGAGCGCTTATTTGGTTCTCTGGTGACGAGAGGCTGAACCTCATCGAGCTCTCTATTTTCTTTGTTTCCCGTTCAATTATACGCTTTATTGTTAGTTGGTTAGTTTTTTTTTTTATTTTAGTACTGTGTATAAATAGCGCTGTGATCAGTTGCTGGTTTCAGTGCGGTCAGAAAAAGTGGTTTGGTTTACTAACTGACTTCAAACGAATCCTTGTATTTGAATACATGTAAGTCAGTAACTAGCCTGCAAAATAGGCTGATTAGCGGGACAGAGCTCGAAACACGATACACGAGCTCGAGCGCGGCGCTTGTGGTCGGGCTTCACCCTCATGTATCGCGTTTCGCGCTTTGTTTTCATGACCTATTCTGCAGGCTAGTCAATGGCAAATCTCACGTCTGTGGATCGAAAACTTCGATCTTTGGCGTGCTATATATAAATAGTTTTTTAAAAAGAATCATTTAAAAATCCTGAGCTTACACCAAGCAAAAACATAGAGACTCGAACCAATGTAAGATAAAACGTCCATAAAGCTGACGGTTCCAAATCTCATGCCTCAGACTCTGAGGCATGAGGTTTAGCAGGTTTGGTCATATGGGCGTAACTTTTGACCTATCAGCAAAAGCGGAACTTCAGCGGTTTGAAGACTTTGAAGGTTCGACTCGGAAATATTTTAAGCCTGAGTGAGTTTGCAACCCAATTTATTTTAAGACAAATAATTCCTCTACCTACTTTGATATAAAAAGAACAAAGCACTCTTTTCTTTAGCCGAGTTAAGGCAAAACAAAACTTGATCCGTGTTTCGTGGGGACCTCTACTTTCAAAATGTAAAAAAAAAAACTGCCTGTAATGATTTCCATATGCCCTAAAGCATGCAAGGTGGGACGCTAATTCAAGAAATTATATAATGCGCTTTCTTTTCTTTGGGTGTATTAGCGCATTCTTGCGCGAAATCGATCTATCTGTATGCGTGTATTGAGGTCTGCCCTTGGCGCGTGTCTTCGTTTTGTGTTCCATGTTCTCGTGCTTAGATGATGACACTGCTCATGTAAACGAATAATATCATAACTTGTTAATTTGCAGTTCTACGCGACAAATCTGTTCCAGTATCATGCTGAGTGAAGGGGCTAAAGGAAACTCATGCCCAGACAGATCGCATAACTTGTTCTGAGCTTTTCCGGTTTCTTGATCTTTGAATCATTGAATGGAAAGTTTGCGGTCAATTGATCCCTTTGTTATCAAGAATTTCATCCCTACTATATGGAAACCTTGTGATACATTGTGGCAACCGTAATTAGACATTTTGAGCAACCTTTAAAACGCCTTTTTTTCTGTTCGATTTCCGGCAAAAGAAGCAGTAGACGGGAAGCACCCCCCCCCCCCCCCTCGGGCAATCTAATAGGCAAACACTGCTAGGAGTCATCAGTGAAACACTGCTCGAGTACCACATCCCGCCAAATTACGCTGCTGTCGGGTCCGACAACTTTGTACGTCTCTTGCATTGTAGCTAAGGCTATCTTAGGAGACCGCCATTTATGAAGCATGTCAAAGACCGCAAACTTTTCAAAAAAAGCCCCCTCTCGCATCACTCCCCGGTATGGAAACAAATTATAATGATCTGATCAAAGAACTTACAAGTCCGCAAGACAAAATTTCGCTTGCCGGTGCGGTGCACTATGTAAAGACGTTTTTAAAACACACTTATGTAAAAAAGCTGCAAAGATTTTAAACAGAATTATTCAATTCACGCACCCGGTCTGGTAACTGCCGTATTCGTCGACAGCCTCTCATTATATTTTGCAATTTGTAAACGAAGAGATTTATTTTCCTCGTTTATAATGCAGATGAGTTGTTAATTGCCCCTAGTACTTCCTCTACGCCCAGTCCGAAAGACAACGATAAATATAGATTACTTCATGGTTGGTGAGTGCGTACGATTTTTATTCACGAGTTGCGAAGAATCGTAAACGAACGAGCGAGTCTTCGAGCGAGTGAGTTTGCGATTCTTCACAACAAGTGAATAAAAATCGTACAAGCGAACCAACCATGAAGTTATTTGTTTAT